GCCCAGAGTTCAAATTCCTGCCATGACGCTCAATAAATAATCTTAGCTTTAATGGATAATTTTAGACAAACTCAATGGATAGTCTTAGACTTAACCTAGCTCACAGAGCTGTTGTGAAGATAAGAAGTGAAGAGAACTGTGTGTGCCATCCTGAGTTCCTCGAAAAATGGGAAGGAGATAGAACTGTAAAAGGTGGATATATTAACTGTATTTTTAAAGTGTGGTATAAAAAAGTCCCACCCTGGATAGCCCAGGCTAGCTCGATACCATCAGTTCTCAGAAGTTAAGCAGGGGTGACCCTGGTTAGAATTTGGATGGGAGAAGGTCACGACACAGAGGCAGGCAATAGCAAACCTTCTGAATATCTTTGGCCTTGAACACCCTATGGGGTCGCCCTACGTTGGCTGTCACTTGAAGGCAAAAAATAAAAAAATAAAAACTGCTCTTAAGACTCTACACACAGTGTGAGACATTTGACAAAAAAGTTGGCACACCATAAATTTTTATTCTTGGAGGTCCTGGGGTGGGGCAGCTTTTACTTCCAGGACGCACCTTCTCTTAGTCACAGGGGAAGTTGTAGATGTGAAATGCCAGGGCGGTGCTTCCCAGAATCCCCCAGAATGAGCCTGGAAAGGCACTCTTGAGCCATGAATGCTAAAAACTGGATTACAAGAAAATGTAATATATGGGATGAAATGCTTCCAAAACTGTATTATTCAATTGGGCTTTCTCCCAAAGTGAGTGTCCTTAGGATTGCAGCTCTGAGGGATGGCAAAGAAGGACATTCTACTGGATTCTAACTGCCCAAGACAACCAACTACAGAATGATGTCCAGCAACTCCAAGACCAAATCCCCATTTCCTGAAATGGGGCGAGTCCCTTAGAACTAGGAGTGTGCACTCAGTATAAACTAAACCAAAAAAATACCAGATAAATACCTTATTGATATTTATTGGGTATTTTCTCAGCTGATCACTGAAGGGGCTAGTGATTTGGCTATCTGAAAATGGCCACCCCGAAAAATCCTAAATGCCTTCAGAGAGAACTCTCAGGCATTTAAAGGGACTGTGGTCCCTTTAAATGCCTGTGGGGTTAACTTGCTGCAGCACAGAGTCATGCAGCAGCTTGAAGAAGGCATTTAAAGGGACCACATCCCTTTAAATGCCTTTTCCCTTCCATTGGAAACAATGGAGGATAGGGGCACCTTCTTCTGGGGCCCATCAAATTGGACCCCCTGTTCTAATCTTTTTGAAACTTAGGGGTTTTTTTTTAGGAGAGGCACGAGTAACTATGCAAACTTGGTGCCTCTACATAAAAAAACAGCCCCCCCCCGAGGCCCAGATCGATTCTCCATTATAGCCTATGGGAACCATTGACTATAATGGTCCTCATAGGGTATAATGGAGCTGGAAAAATTCGGCAATCCCAAATATTTCCCAAATCCCAATACCATACCAATACTGGGATTCAGGAATATTGGAAAATACTTATATTTTTCGGGTTCAATATACCCAAACCTGAAAAATACAGGTTTTGGTGGGTTTTTGGTGCACACCCCTGCATAGAACAGTACTATGGATCGACAGACTGTCCCACCACAGAACTTCCAAGAAGGAAAATTAATGGTGAATGTCAACTTTCTTTCCCCGAAGGTTGAGGGTAGGTCAATCTTTATGCTGAATGTCATAAATTGAGAGCCCATTTAATACCTAGGGCATGGCACACTCTCCTTTTTGTGGGACAGATTCAGAAACAATGAAGGAAGAACCAATTCTTGAGCCTTATAAAAGGTTGTATTGATTTTAGGCATGAACATGAGATTTGTTCTAAGGAAAACCCTGTCATATGTAGTGGTTAGAGTACTGGACTTGAATCCCCACTCTGCCATGGAGGCTCATTGGGTGATCTTGGACCAGTCACATACTCTCACGCTAACCTACCTTACAAGGTTGTTGTAAGAATAAAATGGAGAACAGGATTATGTTATAAACAATTTTGGATTCCCACAGGGGAGATATGGAGTAAAAAAGTAAACAAATAAATAACTGAAAATATATAGTTCTTTGTTAACAGATAGGACATGAAGATCAAATAGCTTACATGCTGAAGTGGCTCCTATCAGGAAAGCCATTTTCAATGACAATTCTCCAAGGGCACAAAGCCAGGAGCTCAAAGGGAGTGCAGTTAAGACCAAAGCTGTTGTGAGGATAAAATGGGAGGAGAGAGAAGAGTGTAAGCTGCTTTGGGTCCCCACTGGGGACAGTGGTAGTGTACAGATGAAGGACATAAATAACTATGAATCATGGGAATATTAAGAAAGCCTACCCTTTTTGAAAACCACATGTGTGTATTAGGAGAGAGGCTTGCCCTTTTCCTGGTCTAGAATATTATACATAGCAGATATTTGTTATTTCAATGTACTGGCATCAATTCTTTTGTTGACACCATCCTGAAGAAAATCCAACTCAAATCTTATGGGTATCAATGCACTATGCTAAGAACACTGTCCAGGAAACATCAAACATTTTATTGGTAAAAAGCTTAGAGTATGCAAATAGTGTATTGGTGACCAGTTTGGAGAAGTTAAGACCCCTAAGTTGTTGCTACTCATTTTCTAGGCTGTCAGCTGTAGAATTTGAGGCCGAGAGTCTAGGACTGAATCTTGTTGAGGGATATCCAACTGGAAAGTGAATTCCCACAGAGTTCATACCAATCACCTGAATGTACATCCACATTAATTAGCAAAGCAGCACTTAATACCTCAAAAATAAATTATACATTAGTATTCCTTGTGGGATCACCAATTATCACTGTTAAGTTGGTGTTTATAGGCAAATTAAAAGCTTTCCCCATTAAAGTACATTAATTCTATAAGAACTGGGAAAATTTCTTGTCTCTTGGTTTAAATATTAAACAATTAGAGAGTTGTTTTATTATCAAACAATAATCCCATATTCTCTTAATTCACTGACAGGTTAGCTGTTATTTCTTGCCTTCTCTAATAATCAGTTCTACCTTTGGGTTTTCAGCTTCACCACACACAAGCTCTTTGTCAATAAGCCCTAGGTTGTGCAAATTGACAATAGAATCTGCAATTATCCGAGCTGTCCTCTTCTGATAGCCTCCAGATGTCACCATCAAGATAGGAATTCTGTGTTTTCTAGCCGCTCTGAAGACAATTAAATCTCTTTCAATAATTCCCTGCATATTTACAACAAAAGAAAGATAATATCAATACTGGATTTCATTGTAATTTATGAAGCTTCAGTCTATAGGTTTCATAATATTCTATGCCTGAGAAAAGAAAATCATGTCTTATTATCGGTAATTCAAATAGGGATTAAACATCTTAACGTATCTGAAAATTATGAATTACCCTTTTCACAAGGTAGACTACAGCAGTGAATAAGGCTACTATCCACAAACCAATTATTCTAGAAAAGTCTAAAATCACAGATACAAATTCCTGGTTAGGTCAGCAGAAAGCACCTTTCCACGTTTGTTAGACATTGTAATAGACATTGTAAGCCAGTGTAATAGATAAAGGACTAAATCCTTCAATGCCTCATAAGTTTTTCCAGTAAAACAATAAAACACCGTGTACAATTAAGCAATATTTGTTGGTTTTTATATGCAATGTTTAGAATTCAATTATTAACAAGATTACAATAACACTACAATATGCGATATAAAGCTTAGCAGTACATACAAAGTAATACAGTACTAGTTACAAATGACGGAGTTCTAGTACACTATCCGTTTGCGTGTCCTTCATCAGGTTTGTCATTCTGTAATTATTTCGAAATAATCGACCAAAAATAGCCATGAGGGGCACGGGTCAAGGCTGCACATGATTGGATGTACTGTCGAGAGCAATCTGTTGACACTCTCTACACTGAGTAGACAGAAATAATCAAAAACTGGACTAGAAGACGTGTATGGAGCCTCGAGTTCGCTCACTGTCTCAACTGTGGCGGGAAGATCATAGTGAAGTGACAAGACCTTATCTGCAAAATAGCTCGCAAAAGCCTCACAGCAAATGTCCAATTCTCTAGGGTTTAGTCTGCCCTGTGGCAAGACTGTCAAGGACTGAATCGTTCTAAACAATTGGGCCAAGCGTGGGCTTGCAGATACAATCATGGCCGCCTAGAACTCTCTCTTCGTGGCTTTGACTGCCATCTCATAGGATTTCATAAGTGTCCTATAAGATGTTCTTGTAGCTTTGTCGCATATACGCCACCACTGTCTCTCTAGCCGTCTTAGCCTCCACTTCATCAGCTGCAGGTCTTGAGCCAGGGGTGTCAAACTTAAGGCCTGTGGGCAGGAAGCAGCTTTAATCGGGCCCGCAGCTCCCCCCCCTTCCTGTCCCAACCCTTTGAAGCTTGAGGCTGCCAAAGTTCCCAGCTCCCTCCCTCTTGTCTTTGCCTGCTTTGGCAGGAAGCTCTTCTGGGCTCGCGAAGTTACAAAGAAAATATGGAATAGATTTTCCATTAAGGTCTCTGCACCCAGACAGACTACTCTGGGATTGTTTCCAGCAATAGAAACAGTGCTCTGGGACTTGAATGACAGCCTCCAGAGTAGAATGATGGTCCCTAGCAATAAAATCTGTGTTCTGGAACTGGAATGACAAGGCACAGAGCAGAATGACAGCCCCTGGGAGTAGCAGCAGCATTCTGGAATGGAATTCCACTCTGGGGGCCCTCATTCCAATCCCAGAACGTGTCTGCTACTCCCAGGGCCTGTCATTTCACTCTAGTGGCTGCCATTACAGTCCCAGAGTAGTCTACCTGGGCTCAGAGACACTAATGGGAAATCCATTCTGCATTTTCTTTGCAACTTTGACTGTGCTGCGACATTTCAATGGAGTGGAATTTAAGAAGTTTCACTTTCCAGTGTCTGTATAGTGGAAGCCGTTTCTTTCTGGAGTTGTCTCCTTGAAAATACAGGGTTGATGTTTTGGGCCAGCTTGTCTGTTGAATGGACCTGAGAACGGGTGCATGAGTGAGTACTCTAACTTGGGAACCCACAGCCAAAGGGGGATGTTACACTGGAGAGCCACTGCCACTCTTACTAGACCGGGGGGGGGACTCCCCTTTTTCTGGCCCGGGGGGGGGGGGGTGAGAAGCTTGCAATGCCCACCCATTTTATGTTCCTAAGCTCAGAGCATTTTATATTTTTAGTTTATGCTGTGATCTTTGTGCATTTTCTTGATGTTTTATTTTAAAAATTGTATTGTCAAACCTCACGATTCCCCAACCTTTCTATTTTAGGCAGACATCTTGGGGGGGGGGGGGAGGTTTGGGAGATGTCAGTTATCAAAGACTGTTAAATAAACAAAATATCACAAGATTATTAAGCATATTTGTACTTTAAGTACAAAAATATCTTCAGCTGCTATAGATTTTCCAGGTTGTGTGGCCATGGTCTTGGCACTGTAGAACCTGACGTTTCGCCAGTAACTTTGACACAGAGAGTACTCCATCTTTCTGTGTTATACCTCTGAGGATGCCAGTCACAGTTACTGGCAAAACGTCAGGTTCTACAATGCCAAGACCACGGCCACACAACTCGGAAAATCTACAGCAACTAATGAACTCCGGCCGTGAAAGCCTTCAACAACATATTAAAAATATCTTTAATTGCGTTTGTATCTTTTATAAAGTTTTTATCTCTGCTACCTGGCATTACGTTTTATGACACACATGGCCTGGTCCCACAAAGTCTCATTTATGTCAGATCCGACCCTTGTAATAAACAAGTTCGACACCCCTGTCCTGAGCTCTCTTGCTGTACTGATCCCTGCCTTGCATAACAGTCTCCTTTTAGTTATCTTTCCACCTTTGAAACTAACTCTGGATTTTAGTCGAGTCTCTGCCTCTAAACCTGGCAAGAACCATCCTGACTGGCTCCAAACCCTCTATGTTCATGTAACTACAACCAGGGGTCTCTAACAGGTAGCTTGTGAACTTCCAGTAGATTGCTGACTGCTCTAGAGTAGTTCATGAATCTCCTAGAAAATCCAGTAAAAGATTGAGAAAAGATCTGCTGTAGACTTTTTTTTTTCTTTTAAAGCTCTTATTTCATAAAATTTTCATCTATGCTGCTTAGCTGATAACTTCATTTTTGGTGCTTTTCTTAGTCCATGTTCTATTTCTAGGACAGAACAAAACTTGGTAACAAGCTGGGGAGAGGAGTAGCTCAAAGTATTCTTAATTATTTAGAAGTAACTCTCAGTAACTCTCATTAACAAAAAGGTTGACAACCCTGAGCTCTCTAATATTTACTTTGGTAATTATTGACTGCCCAGACACGTGGATGTCTCACCTGAAGAATCCTCACTAAATACCTGTGCTGACAGGTAACTTTATGTCTGTGCTCTAACTCAAATCAAGCACATTATCTACTAAGGCAGTAACATATTACTGTCAATGTTTTTGTTATGCTTGTTTTGCTTCAATCAATCAAGCAGACAAACACAGTTCCTGATGAAAGAGCAGTCACTACTTAGCAACCTGTATGAGAGTTTTTATATAAGGTAAATGAGAGAGAAGGAGCTTCGGTGGCTCAAGTGGTTAAGACGCTGAACTGCAGGCTGTGGAAGGTCAGTAGTTCAGCAGTTCAAGACCCAAGTTGCCGCATGACGGAGTGAGCTCCCGTCTCTAATTCCAGCTCCTGCCAACCTAGCAGTTCGAAAGCAAGAAATTGCAAGTAGATAAATAGGTACCACTTTGGTGGGAAGGTAACAGCGTTCCGGGCGCCTTGGTGTTTAGTCATGCCGGCCACATGACCACGGAAATGTCTTCGGACAGCGCTGGCTCTTCGGCTTTGAAATGGAGATGAGCACCGCAACCCTAGAGTCGGATTCGACTGGCTTTCGAGCAAGGGAACCTTTACCTTTACTAAATGAGAGAGACTCTGACCTGGCTACTTGGATGAAAGACTACCAAGGAAGTCCAGAGTTGCTGTCCAGACGCAAGCAGTGGCAAACAACCTCTGAACATTGCTTGCCTTGAAAACCTCATGGGGTTGCCATAAATCGGCTGCAACTTGACAGCCAAAATTAAAAGGGGGCATGAGTGTATCATTAAAGGAAGAAACTTTGAGAGGCAAACAAGATGAATAAATGATAAGCAGCTGCACCATGAGGTGGAAATTATGTAAGAGGTATCCCAGTGTCTTAACATCCGAACTGTGTTAGTTCGAGCCCCGCGCTGGTGTGAGCAGCCAGCTCATTGTCCCCAGCTCATCGTCCACCCAGTGATTCGAAAGCTTCGGCAAGTAGATAAAATGGGAACCACTCCTTAGAGAGGGTGGGCACACCAATCTCCCTTGTGGGAGGGTGTTAGCTGATGGTCGGGACGTCCTGGTCGAGGTTCGGAAAAAGGCGGAAGAACTTCTTGCCTACAAAAATCCCTGCAGTGGATGTTTCCGGCCAGGCGGTGGAAGTGTGGCAATTTGACATACGGGTCCTGAAGCCTGGTCGACAAGCAGCCTTGACTGAGCCAAGCCAGAAGACGTTTACGCCGTGCAGTGACAGCGTGTGCAATTAAATGAATATATGTTGTCTTCCCTATCCCGTATGAACATTGTTAGTCCCCTGTCTAAAATGTGTAACTGTACATTGCTTTGAGCCCACTGGGGAAAGCGATTAATAAATTGAAAGTATTATTATTATTATTATTATTATTATTATTATTATTATTGTCCAGAGGGAATTTAATGTTTCTTGCATACTGACATTCAAACTATTTCATTTTTACCTTAATTTTTGTGTTTAAACACATTGCTTTCTAAACACAATACATCATTCTGCACTTGCAGCATTGTTAAACATTTCCTAAAATTAAATTAACCATTACAGTTAAAAGCAGTCTATATTTTTTCTTTAACAGGGCACATCTTTCATTTAAATGGATCCCTCCTTGAAGTGAATGGAGATTGCACAAGAAAAGCATATAGCAGATTACACCTACATTAAAGCATAGGTGGCTAGTGCACTGCTGAGTTAAACACTGGCAGCACTTCTGCACACTTCATTTCCTAAACTGAAGTGGTTCCTAATCTTTTACCCAACTACTGTTATTGTTAACTGGGGGAAATAAAACAACAGTGTTGCCAGAGTCACACAACAAAGAGTGTATGTATATGTTTGCCTTGTCATTGCTTCCACAGTGGCAAGGAAGGCAAGAAAAGGCCATTACAATCTCCAAGCAGCAGCTCTGAAAGAAGGGGACAGCCAAGAGGGACAGTTGGCCCAGACAGAAAGTAATACTTGTTTCAGGGAAAACAGAAGCATGAAGATGCTGGGACCGAAAACAAGGGGAAATGCACAGTAAGAGCTTAAATACACAGGACTGTACAAGTGTGTCAGAACAAATGTTGTGATGGTGGCATTGGTTGATTGTTAGAGCAGGCTAGTGTATCATTCTTGCATTTATAAAAAGTATATTATGCTATACAAACCTGTGGTGAAATAGCCAAGCCTCCCAATGGGTCACCATCCAGAACATCAGTTCCAGCATTATAAATGATAATGTCTGGTTTCACTTCATTCAATGCACCTTCCACATGTGTTTTTACTTTTTGAAGGTATTCCGTGTCTTCTGTGCCCCAGTCCAATTCAATTTTACGTTTTATGGCTCCTAAAAGTTATTGTAAAAATGATACACAATAAAAAGTTACATGTGATACTGGTAGTAGAAAAAACATGACAATAAAAGAAATAATCTCTTATAACTAATTATCTTAAAGCTTTCAAAAATATTGTCGTAAATAATCCCCTTTATTAAAATAATTAAGTCATACCAGACATTAGAACTATAAATGAAGATCTCCAATCTACCAAAAAGAGGCAAAAGTAAGAATACACGAACAATGACAATAAATATGTTTATGCCATGAAACCACAAGCACTGATATAGGCAAGGACTGGTAAGTACTGTAATAAGAAAGCCTTACAAGTCCCCGCAGTTAAATCCCATTCAAAAGGTCGGGGTTCTGGAGGTTTGGCAATCTTTAGAATAGTAATAAGAAAGCTAAAATAAATAATAATTAATTCCAGTGTTTATAGTAATTAAAATTAATAGTAATTAATTCATTTACACCATGAAGCAAGAAGGAAAGTATGGGACCTAGGTATTTACACTGCTAGACAGCTTGAGAACATATTACAGAAGTTTTTTGAAATTATGAATATTAAAAATGAAGATAAATTGGCCACATAAATAAAAAATAGAGAATAGAAGTCCCAGCAGGAGATCTCATGTAGCTGGGAGTGGCAGCTGAAAGAAGAAGAAGAAGAGATTGGATTTATACTCCGCCCTTCACTTGGAGTCTCAGAGCGGCTTACAAACTCCTCTCCCTTCCCCTCCCCACAACAGACACCCTGTGAGGTGGGTGGGGCTGAGAGAACTCTGACACAAACTGCTCTTTTTCAAGGACAGCTGTGCCAGAGCTTGTGACTGACCCAAGGTCACATCAGCAGGTGCAAGTGGAGGAGTGGGGAATCAAACCCTGTTCTCCCAGATTAGAGTCCGCACACTTAACCACTACACCAAACTGGAAAAGGAGTCTTATTACCTGCTGCCCTGCATGCAATTTCAGCAAAAGAAAAAAAAAGAAACAAAGTTCACAACATTCTGAAATGAAATTCTTATACCGTGTAGGCCACCACCTCCCCCATGCCTCAGAACCTTGTAAAATATCTGAAGAGAGATGGCAAGTCTTGGAATCAGGATTGCTTTGCAGCACTGAGATAAATGTCATTCTTTGGAAACATACTCATTCATGAACTACAGGTACGGGGTATTTTAAGTTGATTATGGTAAACGTAGCAACAGTACCTTCAGTACAGCAATGTGCTACAGTAAAGCATTATCCAATAGCTACAGTAAAGCAAAGATACAGTAAAGAATTATCCAATTTTAAAAATCTTTTTCCTTCTGAGAGTGCATTCCCTCATTACAAAAGAGAACAGTCATCTTTTATGTTAGAATTAACACCGATTTTTCTTTCCACAGATGTTACTTGTATCTTAGCAACAGCCCAGCCTGTGTGATAAACCACATTTTAGTTTCAGGAGATACAGCTTTTCTTCTCTGTTACCTATTTTGTACACAATTATGTAAAACAGATTTGCCTATAGAAAGTCAGAGAAGTCAATAACAATGCTGATTTGAAACATATCATTTCCAATCTTGATATAAGCACTCTCTAATATGAATGACTATTTTGCCTACAGTTATTGTTCTTCTGTACTGTGTGCAGATTCCAGAAGCTTTGATAAACAGATATAAAAGACCATTAAACTCAGAGTTGTACACATGCGCTGAGAAAGCCAGCAGCTTGCCTGACCTCTCCTTAGATTTATTATCTTAAAAGCTCAAAAAGAATGTAATTAGTCCACCTTCAAGGATAACTAAAAGAAGAAATTGACGTATGAACGTCTGGAGAACACAGGAATTCCTTTTTGAGATTTCAGAGGGTAAGAAAGCAATTATTTATTATTACTTTAAGGAGGCAATGCCCAGGCCAAACTCACAGCTCTTATTAGACTCACTGGAAGATAGTGAGAGTAATGGCCAAGACTATAAAAGAACTTTCTGAGCAACTGTCTGCATTCCAAAATATTGTGACAACTTCTCAGGAACAGATAAAAGCTGAAATTAGGACAGTAAAAGAGGCCGTTACAGAGTTGGCAGCCGAGCTTAAAGAAACAAAGCAGACGGCAAACGCTGCTAATGAGCTGGCTACAAAAAACAAACAGAAGATAGAACAGCTAACTAGCCAGCTTGCTGAGCTATCAGACCGTTACAGAAGAGTAAACCTCATCTTTGCAGGGATTTCGGAAGAGATAAACAATAAGCTTCTAGAAGGAACACTTAGAGAATGGTTAGAAGAAAATGGGGTTAAGATACAACCCCAAGACATTGAAAGAGCCCATAGATTGCAAAGGAGAAGGGAAGGAGGAGTCCCACGAGACGTTATAATCAAATTCACAAGAGAAAAGTTACAGCAGGAAGTATGTAAGACCTTGAAAAAGAAGGACTTGACCTTCAGAGGGAAAAAGGGTTTGGGTGAGAGACGATTTTTGCCAAGAAACTATTAGGACGAAAAACCAAATGAGACTTTATGGGCAAAAACTATATGATAACAAAGTGAAATTCTCATGGGGGTATCCAGCTTCAATAATAATATTTAAAGATGGCAAGAGGTTGATAGCATGAAACCCTAAGGAAGCAAAGGAACTCTTCAGGCAACTGGGTATCGATACAGAAGACCTGAGAGAACAGAGAGAGGAGGAAGACATGGAGGCAGCGGATGACCGGGGAGAAGGAACTTCAAATAGACACAATAAAAGGAGGAGGACGGATTCTTACGAGGAAACTTCATAAAGGGAAGTATATAAAAGTTTAATGAGCTAACTTTAGGAATAAGATGTAAGGGGAGGTTTTGGGTGCATATACTCTGGAAGATGGGGAGACGGGATGATGCCGTCATCCAAACTGCTGTCTCAACCACAGGGAAAGGGAGGGATGGGAGGGTCTTTCTTAATAAATAAAGTAAATTACCCACAGCCAGGGAGGCCCAAGATTTAAAAAAACAAAGAAAATTGATAGGTCTTTAAGAGTGCATGGTTTAACATCAAACCTCAAGAGATACAGATTAACCAAAAT